TTTATATGCTTTCTCCATGCATTATATAGATTAAACTCTCTTGTGCAACAAATTGCTAATTATGCATATGCTTTGCTTTCTACCATATGTATGCATATATTTAGGGGGAGCTTAGTCTATATAATGCGAGAGTCAAATTTTGTGATCCATTTCTCTCTATACACAAAGGATCATGAAATTTGACCCTCCCTTGTGCTACTAATGTCTTCCTTTTTAGTGTTTGATGCCAAAGGGGGAGAATTTGAAGGACCAAAGGCAAGCATCAAGTTGATGTCTACAAGTGGTAATGGTCCGAGAAAGGGAGGAAAGTGAATTATGGATTAGTCTATGTAAAGGGAGAATTTTTTTTTTAGAAAGATAGGCTTTAATCCATAATATCATGGGGACATTTGCAAGGGCAAGACATGCTTTTGAGTAAAGTTTTTATTGGTATCTATCAATTAGTATCATATAACCTTGTCCTTTGCATTGCATCCTAGCAAGTAGATAATTTTTAAATTTAAAATTTTTATCATTTGCTTGCTTTGGTCGTGTTGTCATCAATCACCAAAAAGGGGGAGATTGTAAGGAAAATGGACCCATGGCCCATTTACTTTGGATTTTGGTGTTTGATGACCAACACAACCAAATTGGACTAATGAATTTGCAAGTGTTTGTTTTTTAGTCCAATAGGGTGTAAGACGTGACTTGGACGAAGGCGACATGATGATCTGATGATCAACACCTCAAGCAAGACCTTAGAAGCACAAGAAAAGACACAAGATGTCAAGCAAAGTCCAAGCATGAAGATAGGAACCAAGCCGTGCGCAAGATCGCGAAGAAACGAGCTCGCAGAGGCGACCGGACGCTGGACCGAACGCTAAAAGCGCGACCGGACGATGGACCGGTGGCTCGGCAGACAGGCGACCGGACGCTGGCGGCAACCGACCGGACGCAGGAACGCAGCGTCCGATCAATCTGAGAGAGGTTCAGCGCTGAAGCGCGCGACCGGACGTGTCCGGTGGTAGTGACCGACGCTTGGCAGCGTCCGATCGGTAGTTCGCGGCTACTAACGGTCGGGACGACCGGACGCGTCGGTCGGGGCGATTCGATGTCCGGCCGAAGAGCAGATTTGCGGGAGTTCGACCCCAGCGGCTACTTTCTCGATGGGGCTTATAAATACAACCCCAACCGCCATTTGAGAAGTGTGGAGCCGAGAAAACATATCAAGAGTGTTGATACACCATTTGAGTGATCTCCACATGCATAGTGCTTAGTGTTTTATTAGGTGATTAGCATAAGTGCTGCGAAGTGCTTAGGTTGATTAGACCACCGCTTATGCGCTTGCTCTAGGTGTTTGCCTAGTGTTTAAGTGAGGTTTGCATACCTCTTGCCACCCGTGCTTGCGAGCACAAGAGTTGTACATCGGAGGGGCTTGAAGTCTTGCGAGATCGCACCAACGGCGATGTGTAGTGCGGCCGCCACCGTGTACCGAAGGAACAAGGCCCATGGCGTTTGGCCGAAAAGCTTGATAGTGAAGACGGCGGGGAGCATCCGGGAGAGGCTTGCGGAAGGCACATCGGAGACCCACTTGCTGCGTGGGGAAGGCCCGAGGCTATCCACGGAGTTACCCGACCGGGAGCTTGCCCCTGCGAGGGATTCCTTGCGAGGGGCTCCAACGAGGACTAGGGGGAAGCTTGCGCGCTTCTCGATACCTCGGTAAAAATACCGGAGTCGTCGACGGGAGTTTGCATATCTCTATCTCGCTCTTTAAGCTTCCGCATTTACATTGATCATATTATTATCTTTTGCGGTAGAGATAGCAACACACTAGCAAAACCGTAGTTGATCATTTAGATAGATTATCTTTTGCATAGGTTTTGCTAGAGGTAGAAAAAGAGGTCATAGTTTAGAGTTAGATTTTTAAGTTGCCTAATTCACCCCCCCCCCCTCTTAGGCGTCCTCGTGTCCTACAAGTGGGATGGCACTAATCTTATATTGTGAAGTCATGTAGAAGTAGGATGTAAGTTAGTATGAAAATGACTTCGAGCAGTGGGATGGCACTACTCTTATAATGTAATAGAAGTCATGTTATATTAGTGATATTAACTCTCCTAAAGTACAAGCTAGTACAATGTTTGAGTTGTCGGTTCCTACATTAGAATGCAAATTTTGGCAACAAACCAATTAGGCAGTCGCAAATTTTGGCCACAACCAATATATTTCGTAATGGCAATTTTGGGTATCAAGTATCAACCAATAATATTGATTTGGCAACCAAAATTAGAGTTTCTAAAGTGCCTTGAAAACATGCCAATTGGGTCTCAGCGTTCGATACGGTCGTCCCCCCCTAATATGGCCGAGTGGAAAACATCACTGCTGCTACGGTTCTGGCTGAGTGTCCGCTTCCATTTGTTTGTTCGCAATCCACTATGGGACCGGCGGTGATGTTTGACATAGCACCGCCGTCCTACTGTTCCGACCGGCGGTGTAAATGAACTCGGTCTATAAGTGCGCATGGCAAAAACTTTTCCCCAAATTTTCCATTCCCGCCCCGCTTAGAATGGAGCCGCTCCCCGCTCGCCGTCGCCCTTCCCGTCGCTACCGTCCGCCCGCTCTTCGCCATAAATCTGGTTCGCAGCGCCGTTCACCAGCTCCCCCCACCCCGCTCCACCGTTCGCCGGAGCCGCTTCCCTCTCGTCGTTGCCCTGCCATTCCGCCCGCTGTCCTCCATAAATCCGGTTCGCAGCGCCATTCGCCGGGTCCCCCCAACCCTCTCCACCATTCGCCGGCTCCCCCCACCCTGCTCCACCGTTCGCCGATGGTAGTCGAGCTCGCTATCCGTTTTGCTGGCCGTCCAATTCCATCTCTCCGGCTGCCATTTTCCGCACATCTAAGGTAAACAAACTTTGGATTGGCCCTGGTTTGCATTCCATTTAGGACCAATAGTTAAAGATAACATTTTGTAGACCTCTATTTGGAAGTAGAACTATCATATGGGTACATCCGTCGCAGCTTTTAGTTTTCATTCCGTACCTTTTAGAGGAAAGCTAACTAGCATTCGGTTGTTTGGGACGTCCCCAGCACGTGATTTTGTGTTTGTCAGATATTATCAACGTTTGTTCTTTGAGCTTCTGATCCATTGCATCCATTTGCATCTGCGTTTTGGTATGTTCTATCTCTCACATTTGTGAACAATTTGGCATATATTTCTCTGAGATCTGCAATCCATAGAAATAATTTGTATTTTTTCTGGATAATTTGGCATATATTTCTCTGAGATCTGCAATCCATAGAAATAGAAGTTGTGTTATCCCCAAATTATATCACTGTGTCCAATAATATCTATGAAGAATTCATTGTAAATGTAGTAATAAGGCATTATAAATATGTAAAAAGACATTGTAAATGCAACCGAGTGCAAGGCATGGCCAGAACACTCGGTTTGCTCATATTTTATTGAGTTCACAGCATTAATATGTACTCATCTAGAGCTTGGGCGTGCATCTGGTGTTGAACTTGTGCTGCAGCCATGCAAATCTGGTGATACCCAGATCTAAAGTCTAGGTTATTAGTAAACCACTTAGCACTAGCTAATTCATCCAGAAGTTCATCCACCACAGGCATAGGATGCTTGTGTTTGACTGTTATTGCATTCAAATGCTTGTAGTCAATGCAAAAACGCCATGTTCCATTTTTCTTTCTGACCAAAAGCACAAGAGAAGCAAAAAGAACTTGTGCTAGGCCTAATCACTCCTTGTGAAAGCATCAGTTGCAGTTGCTTCTCAATTTCAGTCTTCTAAATTGGAGAATATCTGTAAGGTCTAACTTAAACTGGCTGAGCTCCAGGAACTAGTGGAATCCTATGATCTGCAACTCTCTTTGGAGGTATACCAGCTGGTTCAGCAAACAAATGTTGATATTGATCAAGCAATACTGAGACTGTCTATGGAATCGCTTCTGCAGGACCAGTGCTCTTGACCTCACTTTCATTTCAAGCACTTAACAAATGCACACAATGAGAGAGCCCCATGTTTCAGAAGACCTTTCAGTTTCTAAGCACTAATTGGGTTGCAATGTGTAGAATCATTCTCATTCACCACTCCCTGTAGCTTAATTGTTTTGCCCTGGTACATAAACTGCATTGTTTTGAGCTTATAATCAATCAATAATGGACTGCAATCCTCCAACCAATCCTCTCCTAGGACGAGATCATAGCATTTCAGAGGCAGTACTTTGGCATTAGAAACAAACTTGTGACCCTGAATGAACCAAGGCAGTTGAGTCACTTTTTGATCACATAGCATAAGACCACCATCAGCTGCCTTATAAGTTGTTGCCTCACATGCAGTGGTTTTCAGCTTCAGAGACACCAACTGCTCACGCACAAATGTGCCAATGCTACCAGAATCAACTAATAAAAGCACCTTATGCTTCCCAATTTGAGCCAAAAGCTTCAATGTCTGTCTGGGAGTAACTTGAGTATTGGGTTCAGTTTGGACAGCTAACACCTCCTGTTCTTCCACAGCAGACTCATCTTCACTTTAATCATCCACATTTGTTTGGACAATATCCAAGGCATCCAAAAATTCCTCTAACACATGTAATGAAATGTGAGGGGGGCAAGTATGAACCGGACTCCATTTCTCACCACACTTGAAGCACAACGCATTGCGGTGTCTGAAGGATTTCAGGCTAGCCAACTTGTCTTTAGCTTCAGTTTTGTGTGTCTTGATCACCGGTCTGTTTGCTTCAGTAGGCTTTGCCCTGTCCAATCCCAATGATGAACGCGCAGTCGATCTGGTGAAATCCCGCCCAGATGACTTTGCTTGACCGTGCTCCAGTTCTTGTTCTTGAATCAGCGCCAGAGCACTCGCGGTATCAACTTCTCAAGGCCGATGTAGCAGCAGCGCCGAGTTGATGTCGTCGCGGAGGCCACCCACAAACCGCGTGACGAAGAAGGTGTCGTCGAACGCTGGGTTGTAGAGTAACACGCCATGGGCCAGCTTCTCGAACGCCGCCTAGTACTCCAGCACCGAGGCAGTCAGCTTCAGGGCGCCGAATTGCCGTAGAAGCACCTCGTACTGATCCTTCTCAAATTTCGCCATCACCAACTCGCGCAGCCGCTCCCACTCGACAATCCGCCCATGCCTCTGCACGGTCTGCAACCAAGTCGCCGCAGGCTTCTTGAAGTTCAGCGTGGTGAAGCGTGTCTTCATCGTCGCGTGCACAGGATAGACCTCAAAATAAATTTCACATTGATCACGCCACCAACGGGGGTTAGATCCATCGAATTTGGGAAACTCCATCTTTGGAAACGGAGGATTTTGATGGCCCGAATCATCATCCAAAGCATAAGCCTGGACTGGAGGAATGTGGGGAACCCAAATCAACTAGGCTCTAGATACCAAATGTAACGAACTTGGATAACTGAATGGAGTTTGGGAGGGAAACGTAGCAAGAATCTAGGAAGAACAGAGAAGGAACTCGGTTGAATCCTGAGGGGAAGAGTTCATTAGAGGGGGGAAATCAGGGTTCTGTTCTTCGTTGCCGTTTACAGAGGACCGTCCTAGCTTATAACTGTCGCCAGGCGCCGACACACTCACGCACGGGGACCGACCACGGCCCAATAGAAGTACACGGCCCATGGCCAACTACTGCTACACCTGCCTAGGCCCACTGCCATAACAGCTCGTCACTCCAATGCTGAGAAAAACGAAGAGAGCTCAAATCAAGTGCCAATGGAACAGACAGGAAAACGGGTGCTGGAGCGAGGTTGATAAAAACACACTCTATTGTAGTATCGTTGTTTAGCTTTCGTCGATCGAACTAAAAAGGTTTTTTAAGTATCAATTATCAACGATCCAAAGAGGTAAAAACGTGATACAACTAAGGCCCAATTCCTTTATACTTTCGCGTAGAAATCCGCAGCGCTCCATGCACCTCGCCGCGGTCGCCGTCAATGGTTGCGGGTGCGCGCGGCGGGGTAGTCGAACGGCAGCGGGCGCACGCTGTCTTTGAGCGGTGCGGCGTGGCGGAAGCCGTACGCGCGGAGCACCTGGTCGTCGGCGAACCCTAGCGCGCGGCGCATCCCGTCCTCGCAGATCTCCCTGGTGTAGATCTTGTTCCGCTTGCCGCCGCATGGGTTGCACCCGGTGAAGTGCGTGACGAACGGGCGGCGCCACCCGGACTGCCCACCGCCGTCGGGGCCCGGGACGACGGCCCTGACGGCGGCGTTCCGCGCCGCCGCGTACCGCAGGTGCTCCCGCTCCGCGTGCCTCCGCCGAAGGGCCGGGCCACCCTTCCGCTCCGCCGCCACGTACCGCGCCGCGACGGCGTCGAGCTTGTCGACGATCTCCGCGAAGTAGCCCTGGAAGTAGTAGTCGATGCTGAGGTAGGTCTTGTTGCCCCATCGCTCCCGATTCGTGAGGAGGAGGTACGCGAGCGCCGACTGGTCGTCGGACTGGTCGTCGGACTTCTTGCTGAGCGTGTCCCTGAGCGTCTTCCCCCACCGGGCGTACTCCGGCGAGGCGGGACCCATGCGCGCCCACTCATCCATGAAGTCGAGCGACCACTGGCAGTTGCGGATGAGGAACACGCCGGCGTTGAGCCCCACCCACGACCGCTTCTCGTACACCTCCTCGGGCCAGCCGTACAGCACCAGGTTATAGGGGCGGTACCTGGCGAGCGGGAGCGAGAAGTCCATGTCGGTGAACACGGCGTCGGCGTCCACCCACCACACCCACTCCGCCTCCGGGTGCGCCAGCATGGCGGCGCGCACGATGGGGATCTTGGCCCAGAACGCCACCATGGACGGCTCCAGCAGCGCGTTGTTGTACAGCAACTCGATCCCGTGGAGCCGGCAGTAGTCCACCTTGTTCTTGAGGAACCGCAGCAGCAGGTGGTCGCCGCCGGCGCCCTTGCACGGCTCCGGCTGCGACCCGGTCACCATCACCACGCGCTCCGGGCCGCCGCCGTTCCGGCCGCGGAGCCCGCGCGACCGCAGCCACTGCGCGCGCTTGGCATCCCAGTCGGTGACGCGCCGGCCGAGGGCGTACGAGAGATCCGAGTCGTCGTAGAACGTGCGAGGCCCGTCCGCCGGGCCGGGGACGGGGAAGGCCACGAGGCCGGCGCGGTCGGGCACGAGGATGGACGCCGGCCCCAGGAACGCCAGCACGGCAGCGGCCACGCCGGTCGCGAAGACGACGGCATCGCGCGCGCGGCTTGGCCTCGTTGGCGCCGCGCCCTTCTTGCTCGCCGCCGAAGCGGCGGCGTCCGACGCGGCCATGGGACTAGAGGAGTGTGGCGTGTGAGTGTGGACCGGGATTCACGAGTGAGGAGATCGAGGAGTGCGCGCGGAGAAAGCGCGGGGGGGCTGACTGCGATGCATGCAACCCCGGTGGGCGGTGGTCGATCAAGTCACGTGAGGTGCTCGGCGTTGCCGTCGGTCTCGGCGCGCGACGCGGCTAGGGATCGGAGAAACCGTTGGTTTCGCCACATTCTTTTATTTTTCGAGATGGGGAAGACCGGATGGCAGTGTCGGCGGCGTTTAGAGCGCAGTTTAAAATTTTGAGAACGCATCGTGCATAGTATCTTGTATTTGCTTGACCGGTGGTGCTACTTTTTAACACTAATGGGTGCAGAGTCTGTTTATCTCCGCTTATGATCGATTTCGATCAACCCAAAAGTTTCAGTTATTTTTGCTTCCGCCTTAGTAAAATCAAGAATAGAAGAAATCCATGCAGTACAGTGACTATAATCTGAGTATGTTATAAGCCGAAACAACCACGGCCGTAGTTTCCTCTGTACTTGGGTGCACATCGGCATTTCTGCATATGCTATATGGTCTGGATCGGAGGAATACAGGAGGGTACACAATTTTGACTTATACCATAGAGATAAAACTAGTACCCAAAATTAAACTAGACCACCCTTTTATAAAAAAATTAAACTAGACCACATTCTACTTCATATAACCTCACTATAGGCTCCATTTGGTATCTTTGTAGAGGAGTGATTCTAACAAATGATAACTTAGCCAAACGTAATTGGCATGACAATGAAAAATGTTGCTTTTGCCACAAAAATAAGACAACTAAACACCTTTTCTTTGAATATCGTTTTGCCCGTGAATTCCGCTTTAAATATTACATTTGGTCTTCCTCAACCTCATAGTATTCCTCATATGTTTGGAAGTTGGCTTCAGGAATTTGGGAGGATTTTAAAACCTTTAGTTTTGCTAGGAACAGTAGCTACTTGTTGGTCGCTTTGGTTATGCATAAATGTTTTGGTGTTTGGAAAAAAAAAACATTGTTACCCTCCTATGTAGGTGGTATCTTCGGTTATCCACCGGCTTCGTACATGGGCTATCCCCAGGCTTTGGTTGTGGCGGCATCGCAGCAATTGGCTCAAATGGTCATGTTTTTTTTCTCCCAGACACATGTGTGGCTATCTAGGATTGGTAGTCATTAGAATGCCGATCAGTTTCTTTATTTATTTGGTTTAACCTGTGTGCTTTTTGCTGAAGCCAGAAATGGGTTCACACACTCGATGTAATGATTGTGAATTAATACTATCCTTCCTTTCCGAAAGGGTTCCATTTGCTTTTTGGATTTGGATTGGATGAACTGAATTGGGCACCAATGAAAATACATAACAAAATGGAAATGATTCCAGTTTGACTATGTTGTTTGGTTATCAAATAAGTTGCTAAAACAAAAATCATATGAAATCAATTCTAATTGATGTTTAGTTGTATAGTTTAAGAAATCAAAATTTGAAATTCCAAATGTTTCCCTAGGTTGAGAACCAAGCAATACTTAGCATCAATGGTTGCTTGGTTGTACTCCTAGGGAGACAGAGCAATACTTAACAACATGCGTGGAGTCCTACCTAGGTGGAGTCCTACCCGATGGTTGTACTCCTAAGTCCTACCTATCATGATATACCTAAGGTAGGAAGGTGGAGTCCTACCTATGTAAGCATCTCATGTATCTCACAATGTGGCTATTTCTTTGGTGGTAGACAACATGTGCGACAACCAGGAGACGCTAATGATAAGTTTATCGTTCTCAAAATCAATCAGCCTAGTCTTTCATAGCACGAGTGTGTGTGAATGTTTACATCTAGAGTGTGGCTTTGAAATAAAATATGACAAGGGGATGTAGTTTCATTTTAATTGTTAGCTGGTCCAAAAATCTCATTTGAACAACATGATTTTTAGGTTGTTTAGGTCGTCTATGGATTATAGAAATATGATAAATAATATGCAGGCAATTCAAACACCCCAAATTATAGGGAAAAACGTTATAATAATCCAATAACTTGATTATTAATTAGAATCTCATTATCTCATCAAACCTGCTAATAGGAGATTATTGGTATTTAGCGACTCAACAACAATATAATCTAAGGATCGAAATAGACTACATTGCTACTATCCGGAATCTAGATTGTAAATATAGAATCATCAAAACATGGGTATTAATTACAAGGAATAAAATGGTCCAAACGCATTAGGAATCAAGATATAGGAAATAAGCAATTTTGAATAAGGTGTACCACATAATCATAGCATCAAATACATGAATCTACTACAGCTGCCACCTCAACCTCCTCCATACATTTTTTTCTGAGCGAAAACCTCATCCTACATGGGCAAGGGCAAAAAAAAAAAAAAAAAACCATTGTAAGCCCAATATTCACCAAACCGCGGGGATCTTTGCATCCTAACGCTTACGGCCCACTGTAGCCCATCAGGCCATCACACCTTGGGCTTGCTCCGTCTGTGTTCCGCCTCTCTCTGTTTTTTCTGGAAACGCCTGCGAGCGAACGCTGTCTTGGGTCCTGTGTCGCCGACGTGGGCTCGCCGTCGCCTCGAGCTCCACCTTCCTCTCTCCGCTCCGGCCCGAGCGCGATGTGGCGAGCGACGAGGCGGTGTCCGCCGCTGCTGCGGTGGCTCTCGTCGGACGCAGCCGTCTCCAAGGCGCCGCGGCAGCGGGTGGCGGCGCTGTGGGGGAACGGGGACTACGGGCGGCTGGGGCTGGGCGCGCTGGAGTCGCGGTGGAGCCCCACGGTCTGCCCCTTCTTCGTCACCCGCGCCGCCGACCCGCTCGCCTCCCTCGCCTGTGGCGGCGCACACACCCTCTTTCTGACCCGTATGCCCCCGCTTTCCTTCCCCACCTTTTCATCTTCATTCACTTAACATCACCATCTGCCCGTCTAGTAATACGACTATACGAGAGCAGAGATCATGCTAGAGCTGATTCATTGTCTTGGTTCACGCAGTTAAAATGATTTTATTTTTACC